AGTGGTGCAAAAAGACAGCATCTAACTGTCTTCGCCAAACCTGATCGTGAAGACCTCTCGCAGATTGCCGAGTGGATGGTTGAGGGCAAGGTTAAGCCTGTTATTGACTCGAAGTACAAGTTTGAAGATTTGAGGGAAGCATACCAAAGATTGAAGACGGGCAGAGCCAGGGGCAAGCTAATTCTCGAGGTTGCACCAGATGGAGAGCATGCGGCATAAAGGAAGTATTTGTGCGTTCCATTCAGCTCATCGCGGCGCCTATATTACTGACGAAATGATGCTCAATGTAGAGGAGCAGCTCAACTTGTATGGAAAGGTACCTGGATCAGAGTTTCTTGAATGTAGCTGGTTACGTAGATAAATCGTAGATGAATCTTTGCTACCCTATTTCTTCCATTTCACAGACGTTCTCCCCTTTCCAAAATGCTCTTTAAGGCATATCTCCTTCAGTTGATAACTTCTGAAACGCACGTTCCTAGCTTGATATTTTGATATCACTGTCCAAATTTTGAACAATTTTGTCCATATTAGACGCTACATTTATTTAGATTGTTAAAAAAGACATCGCAGTAGAGCTGCATTTGATACTCTCTTTGCTAATTTATATACCTCCACGTAGATAACTCATTTATCAAGGGTCACCTCCAAGACCGACAAAGCGCTACCAAATGGCTGGACCACATTGACTAAGTGCAATCCGGCATCAACGTCCGCAAGCAATGCCTTCCAATCATCTAGATCCCGTTCCTTACTGTTGAACGACTGGATCTTAGTCATATCTCTGACCCGGACGAGACGCTCAATAGACACAGGTACCGACCCGGGCTTGGGAAGCACGGTATCCATGATAAGTAGCTTCGAGCTGGGCCTATTCTTCATTGCGTCGACGAGATTGTCCACATTTGCCGGCAGATCTTGTACTACCAATTTGAGATGCGGGAACGCCTCTACAAGTGCAATAGCCGCGTCGCCTGTGGATCCTCCAATATCCACGACGACGCCATCTTCGCGGATGCCCTCCCACGCGAAACTAGCCGTCAGGTGACGCAGTGCCATGGTGTCGCTACTTCGTGCGTTGCGCATGTATGCCGAGAACTCGGCCATCTTGTCTGGATTGCGTGAGAGATGGTCAAAGAATGGCAGGTCAGTGTCGAACGTGACGTTGAACGCTGTCTCGTACGGCTGGGTCGAGTCGGGCCCCCACTTCAGGGCAGCAGCGGCCATCTCCTGGGCTACGGGTGCAGAGCCACCGCACATGCGTGTGGCGTAGGAGTAGACGACGGGGTCGCGAGCCAGAAGTGCTGAAGTGGCCGAGTGAACCACAGATCCTCCAGCAACATCCTCTCGGAAGAGGCCGGTGGTCATGCTCATGCGAACGACGGCCTTGAGGCGTTGCACAGAGACTTCCGAAGCAGTGGGAGCATCATAGCTAATCGAGGCATTGAGGGGAATAAGGTGAAGAATCTTGTACTGGCAGAGCCAGGTCAGGCAGGAGAGGTATTGAAACTGAGGAGTCAGAGCGGGAATCGAAGAGAGGCTTAACAATATTGAAAACACTTACACCGGTGGCCAGGTTGGGTAAGAAGTCGCTGGGCCCTGTCGCGAGTTGAAAGAGCTCAAGCGATGCTGCAAGGAGCTTCTGTCTGGCCAATTGAACGTTCGGTGGTGCGTTTACAGGGACGATTACGCTGGGTCTATTGGCCTCGAAAGACGGCTGTGGGAGGTGGTTTGTCGCGAGGTACCCGCTCACGATGCCGGCACTCCCACTAATGGCCGAGCTCAATTGTTCGAGCAGTAATTTCTCAGAGACGCCATTCAACGGGGTGTTGATTTGCTGAAGAGACATACTACAGAGACAGCCGCCAAGTTGCTGACTCGAACAGGTCATGCCATACTCAAATATTTGTAGAAGCCATCATCAGACTTGAATGTCACTTGCACCTGTGCGTTAAGTCCTGGAGCCACAGCGTACGGACCAGAATAAGCTTACTCATACGGAGATACGGAGTACCGTATTGTCGTAAGAACGAAGCTTGGACTTATAACTGAGCATCGAATACTAGGAATAAAATGCTTGTGCTTGTTCAATTAGAGCAACTTCGATTAGTTTGATTGAATAGAAAGATAGCTCAAATACGGAGTAGGAAGAAGTAATCTCTAGTGCTCCTTTAGTATATAGTTTACCTCTCTCCGAGATAGAGAAATCAATAAATTATCTCCTAGTTATTCCTACGCTCGTTTTTCCTATCATACGTATCTTATGCTAGTACTATAGTCCCTGCAGTCCGCAATAATATAGTATAAGTGGGGCATGGCACGGATAAAACCCGAGAATTCCGCGGGAAGATTTGCACACGCCGTGCTTACATGAAATCCTCATACTCAATATATATGATCCGTCACTTAAATAGATAGACTGAGCATGACTACAATTAACAAACACATTTCTATTCTTCTATCAAACATAAGCCGCGAAAATGTCGCAGTCATTCCTACAAACCCTCCCCTCTCTCAGCCAGCGTGAGGCTATCGCCGACGCCCTGTACCGAGCCGCCATTGCCAGTGATCATCATGACTCTGCGCTCTTCGACTCGGCATGGGCCGGAGAAGACGTTTCTATGGAAATTCATGATGACAACAAAAGAGTCCTCGAGGGCCTCTCCCTGATTCGCACAAATGTTCTCAATAGAGTTGGTCCCATGGATACCACGCACAATATCAGCATGGTCCGTGTGAATTACCAGGATGGAGCCGATACTGCTTCTCTTACTGCTACTTCAACAGCACAGCATGCGTCTTCCGGCACGGGCAGGGATCCAAACGGAACCAAGTACACTGTGGGCGGGGAGTATTCCGTTGACCTGATCAAGGACGAAGCGGGTGTGTGGAAGATTAAGAAGTTGGTATTGAATGTTATCTGGACCTCAGGCGATGCTTCATTGATGCGGCCCCCCCCCCCCCCCCCCCCCCCAGAAGTAGACACGGCTGCATAGGAGGTAGAGGGCGAGTGTTTTGGGAAGCAAGCATGGTCTTTTTACCTGTCTTTCTAAGTGTTATGTGGGTGCAGCCGAAGTGATAATGCAGAGCCTCAACCTTGTTTTACAAGACAGATCAATAGATTCGGAGTTAGAATAACTAGTTGTCCTAGTCTATAGGGATAGTGAAGTCCGTCTATTTAACGTACTCCTAAACCAATAAATAATACGGTATCTCTTGCTAACTCGGTAGTAGTAGAGATTAGTTCTATATAAAATATACTTAGGGTAGTAAATTATGCGGGTCTTAGGATCTATAAGATAAAGTAATCTATCGTTGTATTCTCTTGTCGGTTGCATGCCGGCCGCACGATCCTTGCTTAGTACACCTCTAGTATAATATGTCTGAACTTGATCCCGCGCCTCAGGATAAGCCCCGATAGTTTGCGTCTGGTTTTGCAGGTACATTTGGGCGCGTATAGCGTTAGCCATTTACTGGCCACATGGGCATTTTTGGAGTGGTATAGGAGAGGAGAGCTATAAATCAGAGACTTGCTTTGCGAAGACTCTGTCCACATAAGCATCACCTCACATTAATCAACGCATTTCTTGTGAACACTACGAAAGTGTGCCGTTTTACTTCAATTGTTCTTTTGTCGGGCATGGCCTTCGAAGGTTGTGCTCAGGGCAGCCAGAACCCTCAGCCTCCGGATCTCGAGAATGTCAAGGACCCCATGAAAGCGAAACGACTTATCAGTTACTGGACAGGCTTTTCTTGCTTCACATTGAGCGACAAAAGTGAACCAAGTATGAAAGTGCAGTGCAAAGAGGCATGTTTTCCCGGGGGAGTCGCGTCGGATTCACCCACAAGCGGACTTGTCGAGAACTCACAAACGTGTTGGTAAAACGGCCCGGAAGCTGATCACTGTACCGGAAAGCCACTAACGGATGAACAAGATATACGTACACAGATGCGGCTACGTCTCGGAAGGAGTGGCGAGAGCTAAGCCTCTAATAACCTTGCTTCATTGTCTTCAAGCCTGCCCAGCCCAGTATGCCCAGCCGCAGACAGCAGCTCGACGAGGGCAAGGGCGTCCTCGATGCCGATGGTGGCGCCGCAGGCTAGCGTGGGCGGGCTCGCGTGGGCGGCATCGCCTGCGATGCAGACGCGACCGGCCGCGTGCGTCGGGGTGGGATCGGCCATGTCGAAGACGCCCCACTTAGTGAACTGCTCCGGCACGAGTGCCGCTAGCTCCCGCACGTGTGGGCCCTAGCCGCTTAGCCGCTCCAGGTAGCAGAAGGCTTTCGCTGCGCATGCCTCTATGCTGACACATCAGAGCTGCAGTACAAGTGCCAAATTATCCTGATAAATCTTTATCAAGCATGCTCATAACACCAAGTGACATAATATTAAACCTCAGCCTCGTCGCTGCTGCCTAACTTACCACACCATTCACTTCGGAACTAGCCCTGTGAGTGTGCTTCCACTCTCAAATTGTGCATGTCTTGCTCGTCCTTACCAAAATCAGGCCGCTGCGAGGCGGTGGCTGAGCACGCTCTAATCTCATTGACGCCTAAGGGTCTAATTTCTGGGACCCCTTGCCCTTGCAAAGCGCAGCAGGGAGTGTAGCCTAAGCGCTAGTGATTTTTTAGGCAGTAGGAACGCATCATCTTCTGGCACGCTCTCTTTACGAACTTCCACGGGCCAGGAAGGCCGCAGTTTAACGCGAAAGATGTGTGATGTCAACTAGGTTAATTTTATAGGATTATACAGCTCATATAATAGGGGTATTACGAAAAAAAAATAGAGCCTAAAAATAGGTAAATCCCCTCTACCTATGAAACACAAAAGTCGTGGTAAAAGGTGTACGCTGAGACGCTAGGCATTAATTGGTCGATAAGCGAGCCCGAGCGGAGGCCGGGCGCCGATACCGACGCACTCAACCACGGAGCGTCAACTAGGTTAAATCCTAGAAGATGATTTGGCTGGATATATAATCATTAAAATTAAAATAATGTAAAATAGGACCTATGGCGCAGTGGTAGCGCGTAAGTAATCCCTTATGTCCTCTAATTTCAAATTCTAACACTACCCCAGATCTGATTCCAGAGTTGAGTTTCCAGAAGGTCATCCGTTCGAATCGGGTTAGGTTCACTCTTTTTTTTTTTGGTTTTTTTGGGGGGGTGGGTTACACTATCTTATCTTCTTATTCTATATTGTAAATGACCTCCCACGCGACTGCAGAAATAAACCGCACACCAAAAGGCTTAGTAATACCCCAACACCACCAAATTTGTTAGATAACTAGGTAATTTTACACTTTTTTAGACTACCACCCACTTAATTGCCCATTAGCTTTAATATAATCTTTTAGCCGTTTTAGCATAGAATCTACACGCTTGTTAATAAAACCCTAGCTTACTAAATCCCAGCCCTTATAGGCTAATTCTCTTATTATATTCTTATCCTAGTATAGATACTTTTTAACATATTACTTTGGTAATTGCTAGCAGTTCTTAATTGGTACTAGATCTATTGAGTTATCTTACCATTGGTGTTACTTAAGATTTTATAGAAAGTAAGCGCAGACTTAAAGTTATAGCCAATAGCTGCCTAGGCGTGTACTCTTTTGAGGTTTTTAGCGTCTATCCAATCTTATTTCTCATCCCAAAGCTGAAGGCAATTAAAGCAATAACGTTCCCCTAGCCTTCATGTAATCAATAGCGCCCCAGACTCTAGACTTAGTAGGCGTTTCGAAATACTTTTCTTCCTACCTATGCGCCATCGTAAAAATTACAGAAAAATATTCAGATTTGGTTGAGTTACAGGGCTGTAAAGTTGGTGGCTGAGAGAGCTGAGACTTGGTAGGGTAGGCCCGTGCGTTTTGGTGTGCGGTTTATTTCTGCAGTCGCGTGCCTTCATACTTTGTTTTTTGTGTTGTTGGTAAGGTTCCATGGTGGGAAAGCCAATTTGCCGACTGCTCATAAGCAGCGCGCTAGGCAGGGGTGTAAGAACACCAAAGTCAGCCGCATAGCCAAAGTACTGCTACACCAGCCAAAGCCTACCCAACGCAGCTGCTGCATGCCTCCGCGACTGGCTTAATCGATTTTTCAGCGTATTTTACGCTTATCTCAGGTCTGTACAGTCCTTGCAGCGTATTTTAGCAGGTGCGCAGGTGCTGTATACTGGTGGGTGTGTATCTCAACTTAATATTGCAGGTCGGCGTTTCAGAGTTTCGCTTAGCACCTCGTTCATTTTGGAACACCAGAGCCAGCTCAGTTTTCCACATTGCTGATCTGAGAAGCGAAGAATGTTTTGATGAATCATCTCCTTCAATTAAACAGCTTCAGTTGATAGGCTTCAGTACAGAAAACGCTCTGTTTTTTGACCATCTATGTCGGAGGGAAGTCCATCGCCGAGGCGCAATAGGTGGGATTCAAAAGTACCCTAAGGAGGTTCTTGATGTACATGAAGCATTCATGCTTAATGTCCAGAACAAAATGGTTGCTGTGTATGGGCAACTACAGCGATAATCCCTCAAAACAACTATTCGCACAACTGTCAAATCATCCTATCTATCAGTATGAACTCAGAGAGTGCATATGAGAAACAGAAACACCAATATCCGGATCTCAAGGCCGTTTACATGGGCAGGGACCGAGCCCACAACATCCGGATCTCTCAGCGCACCTCGCTCCTCCAAGACATCGTCATCCTCCAGGGCTGGCCGTCACGCGGCGGCATCATCGTGCTCGAAAACGCCACGCCTCCCGATTTCGATTATTTACAGCTCGATCCACTAGACCCTCCACTACGACGTGACGCGAACCAAGATGCCGAGGACGCCTTCTGCCAGGCTCTGCTTCGGCTAGGTGCAACGTGGTGGGACAGCGAGTCTCGACGCAGGTTCGTCAGGAACCTCGAGGATCCCGACGAGGAGGCAATGGAAGCAGTCGAAGCGGACGAAGGACTGAAGCCGACGCGCCTAGAGCGCGGCTGGGTGCGCGTTGCGTGGCCCACACATACGCCTGGCGCGCTGTGCGTGCTTGCGTGCGAGACGATGGTTAGGGGCCGTGCAGGCGAGGGAGGACTCAGGCCGCGGCATTATGGGATCGTGTCGCTTGCTCGTACTATGGATGAGCGGTGTACTGTGTTGCAACGTCTTGGAGGCACCATGTATGCTAGCATCGATGCTTACCAGGGGCCCACATTTCTCAAGGCTTGGGAGGAGAATCATCAGGGCGAGAAAGGGCCACTTGTTAAGGTTGCCTTCATCGATCCAAAGAGCTATGGTGGGCACCCAGATGAGGCGCTTGGTATCTTCAATTAACGCAATTGGTCTGTTCGAGAATGCTCTTTCATTTCTTTGTCCCATTCCTTTTGCTCCTTCAAGAATCTATCCTTCTTCTCTATATAGCCCTCATGTTGTTTTGCAGTCTCCCACACCTGTCTGAATATCAAACTAGCCTCCAGCTTCAATACTTGCCGTTTAGTAAAAAGTCACGAGGCTGCCAAGACATCGGTACGTATCTTTCCTCATCCAATAGCTGTCACCCTGACACCAACCTTACTTGTTTTCACGTACAATTATAAGTAAGATGGTAATAGAGAACAAGAGAATTAGAAAAATTACATTTTTGTGCTTATTTTAGGTACTCAATTGTCTGAAACCACATTCCAAGTAATGATTCAACACCACCTGAGATCACTAGGGTGGTAAATCGCCATGAGACATTTGAGCCCAAGTAAGATTTCACCGAGCAGTACCAGTAGGATCTCTGGCTATAGGATCCTTGTTGTGACGCAGAGCTAGATCAGCCAGACCATTTGCAGTGGTTGGGTTAGATAGAATTGCGAGCCTGGATGCGACTTGACAAACACGGAGATGGCGGCCAATTGAGACCACGAAGTCATCAAGTGCAGGGCTTTTGGTTGCATTAACGGACTTATGGTTTCTGACAGCCCTTTGACGAGGCATATTCAAAGAAGTTGAAACTACTAGGTGATCTTAACTTAAAGAGAGCATCCTAGAGTCTAACTCCTTGATAATGCATCGGAAGAAGCTATAATTAGACTAGAGACGACGCCAAAGTTAGTAAAAACAGCTATATTTAGAATATAGTAGTACTAAAAACTAGATTATGGATTATATAAACGGCGTGGTGAGTTAAAGGGGGCTTGAGGGATGAAAGAAAGCTAGGATTTCGTTATATAAGGCACTTTTCTATTGCCTCTTATGCAACCACGGGATCTAACAGGCTTCTTTTAGCAATGTAAACGGGGTTAAGTATTTTCAGACAGAGCCAATAGTCCGCAAACGTATATTCCGGTAGAGAACCAGTGTGTCGTCCTCGCGACCTAAGCGGAGTATATTATGCGGGCATCCCTGTGTTAAGGCTAGCAGTGTTATGGCAGGCGGGGCTTATCGTCATCCCTAGCATACTCTGAAGCTTATTGATGACTAGAAGGCTTTTTGAAGCGCTATAATTCATGCACTAAACGAAGCTGCGTTGAGTACCAGTGCAATAATGCCTTGCACTTGGCTTTTGTGGTGGTAACGGGCCATTGGCACAGTGTGAGGCCGATCTGATCGGCAGCTGAATTGAGAAGACTGATGCGAGTATGTTTCGACGATGAGGGCTCTTAGTCCCAGCACGTAGCAGCGAATAATGCAGCTGCTAGTAGTAATGGAAGCCAGTTTTCGTCATCGGCCACAGGTGGCGTTATAGGAACTTAGGTAGTTGTGTGAGTTCCAAGGGCGATGTGAATACTGAGTGGCCGTAATTAGAATAAGGCAGTTTTGAACACCAACTTGTGCATCATGCGAATAGCATAGTGAGTCAAACAGAGGCCATATGACGGGAGAAAAGCTAGGATTCAATCATATGCGGCGACCTTTTGTCACCTCAAATGCAACCATAGGATTAAATAGGCCTTATTTGCGATAAGGAAAGAGCATCAACCCCTATAGGTAGAGCTACTAGTTTACCATACGCGTATTCCGGTACACTGCCCGAAAGGAACATGGCGAGTTCGCTCGCTCCTTCATCGTGAACGCGGACGACCCTCGGAGAAGCGAAGGACGGTTGCCAAAAGTATATCTCATCTCACTCTCATATTCGTCTAGGCGAGAAGAAGCTGGCTTCGGTCACCTAGTCCATCGGTATTCCATGCCGTACACTTCGTCTGCCTAACTCCCTAAATACAACCGCGCCGTGCTTACTGATCTCGGAACCCAGTATTGCCTTGGTTCCTGGCCCCAAACGGACAGAACTGTGTCGGTCTGAGCGATTCTCGCTTGATTAGAGCTTTCGTATGGTTTCCAACTTTCCAACCCCGCTCAGATGCCTTTGGAAAATCACAAGTTGAGCTTTGTAAAGGCAGACGGCACCAACGATTTGATGGATAGGTATTCGTGTTACTTTGAAAGGGTATCGTCGTTTCGGGGGGGTTTTTTTTTTCAAATTTGTTGTACCATGTGCAAGCCTTCATTCTGTCGCCCACCTGCCACAAATATTCTTCGGTGCTATTATGCGCTCCAAATTGCCACAACGATAGGTTGCGCCAGGCTGTAGGCTTGGCTTGGGCGGTGTAGACGTTGCCGGGCTTAGGCGTGTATTGTGTGTTGAAGCTGTGAAAGCAATCCTCGGTGCTGGTGTTTTTGTATCTGGGCAATTTGGTCCCATCGTTGAGGATAATAGTCTCATCGAGGGTGGGGTAATGAACATTCAGAGTCGACTCAAAGCGAGTTTTGTCTGGGAATCCAAGGAAGTTGGTAAAGTTGTATGTTCCACCAAAAAGCCAGTCCTGCATAGTTGCAACTACAACATAGCTGTTAGCCTGTAAGTTGGTAAAGACCACCAAGTTATATAGTAGGTGAAGTGGAATGGAAAGATCATGGGGATCAACCATAGAAACGAACACTCTCCTCTGATATACTTGAGATTGTGGGTGGAACCAAAAGGTTATGCGAGTTCACAACTATATTGAGTAGTAGTAAAGAAGACAGAGCCGGGCGCGTGGCCCGAAGTAGCCCATATATGGCTGTATGCTTTGCGTCTATTTACTGTGTGAATATGCTACACTAGACGATGTGTCTCAACCTTGACCTCATTTTTCACCATCACCCTGTCGCCCGTCTCTGGAGGCCCACG